GTTACCTTCCTTTAGATTCATTTATAATCATAATTTAATGCTTAATGTATTATATAGATTTGATTATATTATACTCTTTTACCTATTATTCTTAATAAACTTTATTATAATTATCTTGATCAAGTAACTTATTATAATATTATTAAGCATTCACTAACTCTCCCAATAATTCATATAAAATGATAACAATATATAAGAGATTATTAATATAATATTATAAATATATAAGAGGTTATAACAAAATTAATATAAAACTTAAAACTTAAATAATGAAATAATAAAAAGAATTATATTAACATTCTAATTGTATTAATTTCAAAAAAGTATTATTATCAAAAAAATTTTTTTTTGAGTTATTAATATTTTTATGAGAATTTGATTAACTTTTTTAAGTTAAAATATATATTTCTTTTATAAAAAATTATTAAATTAAAATTATCAATAATATTTATAAGAAAATTGCTTATTTACTTATAATCTAATATAAATATAGATTATTTAATATAATATAAATAATGTAATATAAGAATATAAACTAATATAAATATAATCTTAATTAAATAAAATATTTTCAAAATTATTCAATAAGATCAAATATAATTTTGACTAATAATTAATGTAAATTTCCATTATACAACAATATAATAATTTAAAATTGATAAACAAAATTCTAGTCTATAATAAAAAGAAAAATGATATTATAATATAAAATCTATTAAAATAAAACTTATAATTATAAAATTAACAAGAATAATTATTTAAGAAAATATTTAATAATGCACAATTAAAAATATTTTATGAGTAATAAATCTTATTTGAATCTGAAGTAATAATAGAATATAGATTTCTTATCAATATTTTTATTATAATATTAGTATCATAATACTTTCTTTTTTAAAAATATTATAAATATATTTTTATTCTATAGTACATAATATCTAAAGTTATTAAATATTTATATTTTATAAAATGGATAAATTTTTTTACTAAAAAGTAAATACAAAAATTTAAACTATAAATATAATAAAATAGTCTCTTTTGAGTATATTTACAGATTAAATTTTGTATTTACTTTTTGGCAAAAAAGTTTATTTATTTTGTAAAATATGAATATTTAATAATTTTAAATATTATACACTATATCACTTTTTTAAAAAATATTTTATTTTATTTTCTTAATTTGTATTTTCTATTATTTTTATCAATATTTATAATAATCTTATTTAATTAAATTTTTTTATATCTAATTAAAAATAATAATATTTTGTAACTATATCTAAAAATACTTGTCAAAATCTTTTAGTAATTATTTAAATTTTGTTAAATTATAATAAATTATTAGTAAATAAAATACTGAAACTTTATCAAAATCAAAATTCTAATTAATAATTAATATATAATCTGTTAAAAATATTTTTAAAGAGATTTTAACAAGTATTTTTAATTATATTAATTTTTATTAGTATTTTGAGTTTATAAATAACTTTTTTTAATAAATTAGTTAATTTTAAATTTTAATTAATATTATTTTTTTTTGAAATATTTAATTATTTAAAACTTTTTGAAAATATTAATATATTTACTATTTAAAGAAACTAAACAAGTTATTAAAATTAAAGAATCTGAATTTGTAAATTTAATATTATTTATAAAACTAATACTAATAATTTTTTCTCAACCAAGTAATATTATCAAAAATTAAAAATAATAATTATATAACAAGATAAAACAAGTTTTTTTTTTTGAAAAAAACTAATAATAATAAGAAAATAATCCAATATTATCAAGCTAAAAAATTATTATAATCTTAATTATCAAAATATAAAAATTAACTTAAAAGATTAAATAATAATTTTGAATTAAAATTTTATAAATAATTCTATATAATAATATATAAAATATATATTCTTTTCAAATATTCAAAGTATTTGAAAAATAATTTTTATTATGACTTTTTGATAATATATAAAATAAACAAAAAATATTATAAAGATAAAACAAAAATTAATGAATAATAATTTTTGAAATTTTGTAAAACAAAATTCTTTAAAAAATAAATATTATAGTAATAACAAAAAAATTTCTTTAATTTTCAAAAAAGTAACAATAAAATTCAAAAATAATTAAAAACAAAAATAACTGAAAATAAAAAAACTTGACAAAAATAACTTAATATATATATATTATTTATAATTTTATTTATTTATTACTTATAACTTTATTTATAATTTTATTTACAATTTTGTACTTTTATTAGTATAATTATCAAACTTTGTATTTTTAAAAATATATAAATAGAAATACTATTTGAATTTTAACTTGATATATTATAACAAGAAAAATAAAAATTATTTTTTAACAAAAATTTTTTATCAAATAATATTTATTTTTTCATTTTTAATTATATATATATTAAAGCGTGCAAATAAGTAATTTTTGAATTATATTATATTAAACAAAATACTATTATTAAAATTATTGGCTTTGAATCATATTATATTTAATAAAAATTATTATTAAATTTATTGAATTTTAAATAAATATTTTAATTTTTTTTATTTGAATTTTTGTTTTTTTTTGATTTTGTTATTTTGATATTTTTATTTATAATAAGAACAAAATAAAAGAATTTTTGTTATTTTGTTATTAGTAACTATATTATTTTAGCTCTAAAAAACTTTATATAAGTACAAAAAATTAGTACAGTCAAATCTCTTTATAGTCATATACATTTATAGTCATATCTCTTTATAGTCATCTTAATTTGCTTTCCTATTTACATATAAATATAGTAAAAAAACTCCTTTATAGTCACATTCTCTTTATGATCACCAAATTTTGCTTTTCCGAAAATAATGACTATAGAGAGGTTTGATTGTATTTCAAAATTCTCTTTACTATTTATTATTTTATATTTTTTTTTCTCTTTGATTTTTATTTTTCTATAACTTTTTCATATCTATATATTTTATTTGAACTATTACAATTTCTGTAAAAATTGGTATAAAACTTAAATATTTCTTTTTTTTAGTATTTAGTTTATTTAATTAATTTCTTTTTCCAATTCAAGTTCAAGTTTGTAAGTTAATTTACTGATTAATAAACAAACTTATAATAATATTATTAATTTAAAACTAAATCAAGATGTATATTTATAAAATAAAAATATATTGTGTGTATTTAGAAAGTTAATTATATGTTATATTCTGAAAAAGATCAATATAATTATAATCTTATATAATGAATTATAATAATAACTTATTAATTAGATTGTCATTATAATTAATAATTCACAAACTTATAAAAATGAGCTCTTAATAGATAATTTATTCTCAGAAACTCTTAAACTTTATATATTATATTTATTTAATACTATATTACATTTATTTAATAATATATTATATTTATTTAATGCTATACACACCTTTACAATAAATTATCAGAAATCCAGAAAAAAGCATAATAAAACATAGTAAATTGAAATTATCTCTTTATAATTAAAATTTTATTTTTATTAGTAAAATATTTTTTGTTTTTATATCAAAATAAAGCTAAGAACCTGTATTTTAATATCTATTTTTTTATAGATTTTTTAAATTTAATTTCAGAAATATTTCAGATTGTAAAGTTGATTATACAAACTTTTTATAATTAAAAATTCAAATTGTTAAATTTTAATTATAAAATATTTGTGTAACTAACTTTATAATTCGAAATATTTCTGAAATTAAATTTAAAAAATATATGTTAAAATACAGGTTCTTAGCTTTATTTTGATATAAAAACAAAAAACATTTACTAATAAAAATAAAATTTTGATTATGAAGAAATAATTTCAATTTTACTATGTTTACTATGCTTTTTTCTGTATTTCCGGTAATTTATTGTGGGGGCGATCTTTCTATAAACCAGAAATCACCTGATAAATGTCTACCCTAAAGGGCACGCCATCAAACTGGAATTCCAGATAGGTCGAGATACTCGAACGTTTTAATTATGTGTTTAATCGAAACAGGTGACATTCTTGCAATATAATGGTCTGCAACAAATTATGTAATGTCAGACATACTGTAATTGTCCGCTGAATATCTCATACTCCAAACTCATCATTGACTGTCCTTTTTTTATTAGTCAACGGTGAATTTCGAATGATTAAACAGCCCAATTGTGAGAAAACATGCCGGCTCTTAATCATTGAAATATAAGATTCAGGCTTTGATTTTTAACTATCAATTTTGTATTATGCGAGCCGTTTTTGGGCTAATACAATTGCATTTATATATAACTACTATGATTAAGAATTTTACTGATGCGGAGCATCATTGCCTACAAGTGGCAAGACCTAAATTACATGGAATATTTTTCTGATCTCACTAAAATTGAATTTGTTCTGACCATATGTCAGCTAACGAATATCGATATAGACAACTAATCAACAGATAAATTTATCTAATGTTACTTATAGCTTGTTCCAAAAATAAGCCGAATCCACTATCGTCCATCATATCGACTTTCACTGTGTATAATGCCTTTACCTTACCTTATTTCCTCTTCTTCATACTCGTCATTTTTCAACAAATCCACCATAATTATGTTTAGAATTTTCCAAGTATTGAACGTAATCATATTTTGATTTTTTCAACTCATTCGGCCAACATTAATAACTATTCCCAGGCAATGCACCAAAAAAATGTTTCGTGTCACGCGAATACTTTTATTTTTATACCACGTGGATGCATTCAAATCTGGTTTCTCAACCAATATGCTATAAAAGACCCAATTACAAAACTTTTGAAGGTTAACACGTTTTATTTACGAAAACTTTGCAATTTGAAATATAATGAATTCTTTACTAAATAATTAATTACAATTCTTTAATTTTCAAACCTATGTTCTCTCCCTTTTTATCAGCATCTTCCTTTTCTTCTTCCTGACTTTCGTCATCGTCATCATCATCATCGTCATCATCATCGTCATCATCTTGATATTTGATTTGATCCAGTAATTGGTCGAGTTCATCGCGTTCATCGAGAATTTTTATATATTCTTGAATAAAAGGAATATAATTGAATTTACGGCGCGCGTTTTCATCCTATATTATTATATTTAAAAATTTATATTTAAGTCTTTCATCAGATTTGAATAATTAATGAAAAATCATTACCTCGATCTGCACTTTTTGTTCGCGTGCCTGTTTCTCATTTGCCATGGATTGTCGAATTTGTTGAGTTAATACGCTTCTTCTTTCGATCAACCCGTTAACCTCTTTTACGGATTTAATCTCCTCAATTTCTGCCACTACTCGCGGTTTCCTATGTGCTTTCATTTCATATTTTTCAATTAATGGGATTTCTTGGGATACCTAAAATAACAATTGGGTATCACGCAGATAAAAAAAGTTAATATAAAAGTAATTCTGTTGGAACGAAAGTAAATAGAACTCACAACATGAGTAACATTATTTTGGGTCCTCCAATCCGGATCGAGTTCATTTAATCGGCGGTCAATTAATCTTTTGATTACGATTTTCTCGCACGCTTTTTCTCGATTATAGACTTCAAGATCATTGACGACTGCCATTAAGTTGTACTCGATACCTTCGATTTGATACCTGTTTTCGTTTTTGACAATTGAATGTATTGAATTGTTTTAATATATACAGTTCCGCAGTTTTATATGGTTGAAGATTAATATAAAAATACAAGCAACAATAAAGATTTTATTAACCTTTGCAATCGTTCCCTTATAGAATCCTTTGCGACTTCTATCCAATCATCACCTTCGATTTCTCCTAATTGTTGTGTAATAAGTATAATTGGAAAAACCAAACAATCGTAAAAAAAACTTGAATTTTTTACCTATTTTCCGTGGATTACGTGCTAATCCATCGAGTTCAAATACACTTCCATTAACCGGTACATAACCTGTATAATGAAAAACATCACCATCATCATCTTCCCAAATATATATATCCAGATCATCCCCTTTACTTTTCCTTTTAGGTTTTTCCACTTCTACTAAGTCGAGATCTTCTTGGAATCTAATAAGAAACCAAGTGCTCAAAAGTAAAAATATATAAAAGATTTTTAACTTAATAACTTGTAATTGTACCTAACAAAACGATTATGGTTTTCACGAAATTTATTGGTATTGGTCATAGCTAGTCCTTTCAGCTAATAAATATAGAAATTTATAAAAAAAATAATTAATTTAGAGTCTATTTTTCAAGTGGGAAATCTAATAGTAAAATTTGATGATAATGTTACTTACTGGCGGCTTGAAATCTCTTGTGAAATCTTTGAATTCATTTAAATCATTTCCGAGTTCAATTTGCTCACAATTCAAGACAATATTCAAGAGGGCTTGTGTTGCGCAGGCGTTATCAATAACCTCTCCGATTTGAGTTTCAATGACAAATGAATCGGAATAAAGAAAATAATTCAAAAATAAAAAGGCATAAAAAATATATATTTATTATTCTTACTTGGTTAGCAAAATACACTCGCAGCAATTCTTCATCATCATCAAACTCTTCGCCACTTTTATCAATCTCCATACTTAACTTGAATAGAAAAATTAATCCGTACACTTCACTAATTATTATATCAAAACAAAACATTAATAATAACGGTGGATATTTTCATCAAGATTTACATAGTATGTGTAAATTTACCCGATTCTTTCCCACTCTAATTTGTCATCAAGCTCCCAATATATATCAACTACTTGGGTATTCTTTACACCAAGGCCTTGCAGTAGCGAAGTAAAGACACCTTTATATAGAAAATGCATTACGACAAAAACAAGCTTTATTAGTTTTCAGCTTGTTTTTTAAAATTGTCGTAGAATTTCAAAGAACTTCTTTTTTGTTAATTTCGCTTACCTGGATCTGATTCTATTAAAGCCCATGGACCTCCTTCTAGGTGTTCCTGTAGCCTAGGTTCGTGAGTTCGAGCTGACATATTCAATTTAGTTGAAATGTACTTGTATTACTTTAGAGGCACAAGTTAGTATACCGCGCGTCAAGAAGCAAGAATAACGCGCGTTTTTAATTTTGGATACGGACAGATTCGTCATGTGACGGACAGATCTGATTTTATCATGTGACTGAACTTTACTAATCAAGAAATATTAGACTTGTACAATGAAATTTCATCCCTCTCGGAACCATAGTAAAAAACAGGCAGTGTGCATTTAGAGAAGATGTGCATTTATAGAGAATAAAATACATGTATTTTATAATTTGGAATCAAGTCATATTATATATTGTTATGATATGAATTTTTATTATATTAATTATTTTAAATATTTTATATTGTTATCATCCACTATTTTTCTTGATCACCTGACATGAGATATCATCAAACTCTGAGTGATATTCAATTAATTTCTATTTATAAACATTTATTTATCCATTTATCTATTTATTTTTAATTATCTTTTATTTATATTTAGTGATATTATAAATTATCAATCACTTTATTTATTTATTATACAATTTTTATTTATTATATTTTATTGATTCTTGATTTTTAATTATTAATCTATTTAATTTTGATTATTAATTTATCTTTGATTATTAATTCATTTAATTTATTTAATGTAACATCAATATTTTGCTAATTTTATTTGTAATATTTAGATTAATTTGTATTATATTTATCATTTCTTAACATTACACATGTTATAACTTTATTATTTTATTGGTTCTTTATATTGTTACAAATCTTGTAGATTGATATTACTTTAATATATAATCTAACATAAAAAATTAGACATCTTATAATTTATTTTTGGTCTTGGTAATAATAAAAAATAAATTAGACTGCTAATTATTCTAATTATTTTGTTTTTATTGATTTCTCTTATTTTTCTTGTTATAATAATTTATTATATGTTGAATTATTATTAATATTTGTTAAAAGCTTCACTCATAAAAATTATAAAATACAATCTTTGTTACTTGATATTGGAATTCATATTTTAGAAAAACTTATATTTTATACTTTTGTATGAACACAATCATTATTATCTATCTTGTGAATATCTTTATCAGCAAAAATCATAGACTAATGACAGATTTTTGGTGCTCTCTCTATGAAGCAAAAATCACAAAGAAAAACTAGATCCAACAAGATCAATAGTAATAGAAATACAAAGATAATTTCACTTACTTATAACTGCAATAATAATAATAAAACTTATTTATTTAATCTAGTAAAAATATTTTTCATCCAACAACTATTTAGACAAAATAATAATACAACAACAATATAACTAATACAGCTAATCTTTAATAACAACAACAAAAACTCTACTTGAAATAATCAATTATATTCAAAACTTTTGTGAAGATATTGTCAACTTTAACCAATACCAAACTCATTACTTACAATAGCAAATAGTCACAATAAGAAGAGCTAAAAAAACACAAAGAAGACAACAAAATTGATAAATTTAACAATTATAATAATCAACCCAACAGCAAACTCAGCAAAATCAATAACAAATATAACAATAACCTATATCTTCATTACAACAAGACAATCAAATATTAGATGAAGCAATTAAATGTATGACTAAAGCTATTATTTCATTAGTCAATGCAATAATTGTACAACAAAATTGACAAACTGAATGCAATAATCTATCATTATCAATTTTTCAAGATAATAAAACTAATAATTCAATTATTTGATTTGAAGAATTCAATCACTGTGCTAAAGCAAATAATATGATCAATGCAAGAAAAATTACAGTAGTATTTGCATATTGCTAACAATTAATATGAACAGCGAAAACAAGTATATAATAATTGGTCTCAATTCTGAACTCAAACCAATAATAATTTCTTTAAAAATTAGTTTATAATTCAATTTAGAACTAATATACAAGTTATGGCTTGGAGATAATAACTAGTTATTAAAGTTCAAACTCTAAATAAAATAGTCATTTAATATACAGATAATATAAAAATCTTATTAAATAAAATTAATCTAAATGATGACTATCCAGCTAATCATAAAATTTGTAAATTTACAAAAGATCTTAATCTATTAATTGCTTTTTTTGTTAATTATAAAAATTCAGCAACTTTAAATAATGCAATTAAATTAGCTATTCAAACTGAAATTGAATATAACAAAACTTATAATATAGTTAATCTATATCAAATCACATTTTTAATGCTATTATCAATAAAAATCATCATTATTTATTTTGAACAGGGATAAGAAACAATTAATTATATTTATATTTTTCTTCCATTCTACTATATCTGCTAAAGAGACATAATATTTTATTTGTGATATTTTTCCACACCAAAAATATACTACATCAATGATTTGATATTTGATAACATAATTTTTAATTTTTAATTTTTAATAATAACTATACATATATAAAATATAAATGAATAATTTATAATTATTTAAAAATAATAAATAATATAGCTTATCTGACTGCTCCATTCACTATAAAAATGATTAGTAAATTGATTATCTGACATATTTGTCATATATTCAGGTTGATTTTCATTTAGGTAATTTTTTAATGAATTTTTCGGTTCATTTTGTGAAGAATATAAATTGATTGAAAAGAGTTACTTTGTTACACTTACAAAATATGATTATAAATTTAAAATATTGATAAAAATTAATTTGAATTTTAATTTAAAATATTGATTATAATCAATTTAACTTGATCTAATTTTACAATCATGAAAAATATATATCAAAAATCTGTGATAAAAGTTCTTTTTCTTTATTATTATATTGTTTTTTATTTTATTCTTGATATTATATAAATCATCACTAAGTTCTTTTATTAGAAGATATAACTCTTTATATTAAACAAATAAATATTCATCAATTTCACAATGATGATGATAATATTCTAAATTAATATATAATAATTAATATAAGATTAATTTAAAGATATTTAATGATTTAATATTTTCTAATTGTAGATAAATTAGAAATTGATAGTGTCTTCTTGATGAGTTTGAATTATTTTGATATTGAGCTGAATTTGATTGTTGCGTATTATAATTATTACAATTAGGAGTAGATATCAATAAATAATTAGAAGTGAATATTAATAGTGATAATATTGAAGTAAAATTATGCATTTCTAGTTTTTCAGTATATAAGTAAATAATTATGTATTCTTAGTTTTTCAGTATATAAGTAAATAATATAAATAATCTATATAAATTATATAAAATTATTATCTCTTTCTACTCATATTTAAAATTGAGAAAAAAGATATGTTCGAATAAAAAGTTGTAAAATCAAGTTGTAAGAAAAGAAATATATATATTGTTTTATGTATCTATAAATAGAGAATATATATGAACTATCTTGAAATAATATTTTACAAATAATTCTCTTTTATATTTTTATATTTGAAATAGTATTCTTATTATATGAATATATTATTTTAATCAGCTATAAAAATTCATTAAACTTCTAAATAATCAGATATATCAATTGATTAAATATATTGATTGATTATAAAATAATACATAAAATCATATTTTCCATTTAAAATAAGAGATTTAGGGAGTTAACATTTGATCAATTATCATTTTTAGATATTAGTAATAGATTATAATCACAAACAAATATTATCTTCTAATAATAGAATAGTATATATAATAAATTCAGATCATAATATTAGAGATAGATTATAATTATCCACATAATAATCAATAATAGAATAATATATATTATGATTGAATAATAAATTTAGATTATTACAAATTGATAATTATTAATTAAATTATATAAATAGTATCAAAACTCTAACAAATAATGTTATAATAATTTATATATAAAATAAATTATTTAAAATCGAGCCATTTTAAGATATAATAATTTGGTTACTATTCAATAAATTGCAATATCTCTTTACTAAATAATATGAATGATAATATTTTCAAATAATTCTAATTAATTGTAATTAAGATATTGAGTTCAAAAACTGAACTAAATACTTATAATAATAATGATTAACTTTAAGAGGCAAAAACTCAGTTATTAACTAATTGAAATAAAATAAATATCATGTAATTTTATAAACTAAACTAGTAAATGATAACAATTTTAAATAATAGATAAACAGTATAAAAATTAATCAAGAAAAAATATTTAGCAAAATATAAAAATAATTTTTCAGTTAATTTTTATTATAAAAATGAAATAATATAGGAGCTCAGTAGAAGAATAATAAAATAAATATTGTTACTGTTCTGAACTTTTGCGTATAAAAGTATTTCAGAATGATAATAGTGACTGTATTTATTTTGAAAGATTAGAATACTGAACTATAAAGACTTATAATTTAAATATCAAATATTAAATAATAAAATTGAACATAACTTTAACAAGGAAACTTAACAAAACAAATACGATAATTATTAAAGCTTTCCCAAAGTACTAAACAATGATAACTTTATAAAAATATAATTATGAATAATAAAAGAATGAATAATAATTTCTTGTTAAGATGACATAATTAAAAGACCAAAAGAATGTGAGTCACAATTAATTTTTATTATCTCAATTCATGATTTAATGATAATTATAAGTTAAAATACATGTTACTTATATATCTATTTCTAACTCAAAAAGAACTAATTGGAATCTAACACATTCTCATGTATCATGAGTAACACACAATGTTATTCTAATTTGCCAAGTGTTGCACATTTAAATCCAGTACCAACACATGCTAAAATACTAAAATATTATTAGTACTCCTTTGCTATTATATAATAAAATTAATTAAATACGAAATAAACTTAATATAGCACAAGGTAATACCAATATAACACAAAGAAAAATTAAATACATGAGAAGAACCAATTAAAATATAGAAATAGAACACATGTCAAATCTTAATAAAATTGATCTATATTAAGTATGTATTATGACATAAATTTAATTTATAATAAAGAACCAATTAAATTATCTTAATAAAACCAATTAGATTTCTAAATACTATCATCATGTGAGAGAAATATTATTATTATAGATAAATGTTGAGCTCCTCTTGGTAATGACGTTATGCTCACCTGACTGAACTTTTGCATAAATGTATTAACAAATAGCTAAATAATATACAACATGTCACAACGGCGACAATATGAATTAATTCAATTAGCTTGCAATATATTATTTTATGCAAATATATAATATATCAATTAAATAAATATAATATATATTAACAAATCAATGATTAATATCGATCATGATTATATTATTCAAAATGAAACTGATTTCTAATAATATCCAATTGGAAATTGATTTTTAATAATATCCATTGGCAATCAATTATTAACATTCTCATCAATTAATATTTAGCATGATTATATTTGAATATTAACTATATGCTGATTGCAAACTATATCAATTAGCAATCAATTATCAATATTTCAACTAATTAATATTGATTATGATTACAAACAATTGCAAATTATTTTCATTGATAATTAATTATCAATTATATTCATTGGCAATCAAGCATTAATAACTTACTGATTAGCAATAATCGTGATTGCAATCAATTACAATCAATTGCAATCAATTCTTGCTGATAATTAATTAACTATCTTATATATACAATTAATTATCAACACTCTTACTGATTGGTATTGATTGTGATTGCAATTGATTACAAATAAAACTCATTGACAATCAATTGCTGACAATTTCTATTGGTAATCAATTATTAATACACTATCATTTTTCATTGCTAATGGTTGCAATCGATTGCTAATGATATTCTTCAATGATATTTGATCACAATTAATTATTAGCAATTATAATTGATTATAATCACTAATAATTAATTATAATCTTTATTGATAAAGATATTAATAATTAATTACTAATGGATATGATTATAAATCAATTGTCAATGGATATAGAAATTTTCTGATAATTGCTTTTAAAGCTAATAATAATAACTAATAATATATTATAATATATTATATTCACTAATAATAACTAATAATATATTATAATATATTATATTTACTAATAATATATTATAATATTAGATAATATATTATATTTACTAATAATATATTATAATATTAAATAATATATTATATTCACTAATAATACATGATTTATAGTTTTATATATATTAATATATATTTATGTAGTTTGTATACTAAAATCATATATAGTCAAACCTCTTTATAGTTATCATTCGCAGAAAAGCAAAATTTGGTAACTATAGAGAGAATGTGATTATAAAAGAATTTTTTTACTATGTTTATATATAAATGGAAAAGCAAAATAGAGTGATTATAAAGGGATGTAATTATAAAGAGATTTGATTGTAATATCTTTTTTGTTTAGTATTTCTAGAAAAAAACTATCTAACCAATTATTTTTCTTAAAATCACATGATTCATGAATTTGTCAAAAAACTGAACTTTTAGATTTAATAATCTCTTAAAACTAATATAAAACTTGTTTATTAAGAATATTAGTTTTGAGAGAATGAACTGTAATTTGTTTTTCAAAATAAAATATAACAAATTTGGTATATAAAATTTTCATTGATTTGAACTATCAATTTATCAACGTTATCTTAGTAATTAAAGCACTAAAAGTATAGTATTTTTATTAAAAAGAAAAAAAACAGATTTCTTTTCATATATGTATTTTAACTAAGATTCTCAGAAATTCATAGCATGGAAAAGAATTTCTCAACAAATATTACTATATGGATCTTTGGCAAAAGAATTCTCTATCGAAGCAATAATTTTTTTATGAAACATAAAAAATGATACCATGTGATGTTTCCAACTGAACATCTGCATAATTAGAGAATTCAAACTTTCATTACTGTCACACCATTTCTACGTACATAATAAATCTAATTCTAGAGAGTGAATAATTTTCTATTGAAAAAAAAACTTTAATAATAATCTCGATCTTTACTACAAAAAACATTAATTTCCACACAATATAAATGAATATTTTATATTTGCGTGTACACAAGCCCAAAATCTTCAGCAGTGTTCGTTCGGCGTCTTTTCGTCGAGCGATGTCTATTTTTAGAATTCTTAAAAAAAATACATATAAGGAATTACACACGCGGTGCTCCAACACAAACAAGGGAGAAGGGTTTAAAATATTTATATGTATATATAAAACTAGTCAACAAGTACACACATGAAAGAAAACTTTTCCTTCTAATATATAACAAAAAACAACATAAAAAAGCAAACACCTTAATCTAAAATCGTTTTTTCCTTTATATAAAGGGGTCATAACAACATTATAAAGTCATCAAAGACATGCTTGCCTCATAATCACGTTACATTTTAGTGTCTGCAAACCGATTTAATTTATCACCAGTCCGTTAAATACACACACTACGATGCAATAGATTGAAAGGCAGGTGGATGCACATCAAATAGGTCGGATTTTCGATGTTCGGAGTAGTCTGACGTGGTGTCCGTATCGTCTACCACTCCGAATGGAATAGCCGATGAATTAAGGCGAGACGGGCGAAAAGTAAAATTCTGCGCTGGATCTGGACCTCTAGGTTGTCGAATAGGAAAAACAATAGGAATGCCATCGGGACTATAGTTTACATAGTTAATTAAATTATTAGATTATATATCTCTTAAAACGATTATAATAATTAAAATAAAGTTAACATACACCCAAGATCTTCGGAAAGGCGATCGTGAAAGCGGTGAAACGTCACCTCTAGTAGATCTATTAGATGGACTTTCGGATAATCCAGCGCTTGCAAGCAATTGCGTTGCAGCACGTCTGCCATACGAACCATTTCGCGAAGGTGTTTGCTAAATTTCCAACATTAAGATTAGATGATTTATCAGAGAAGTAATGTGGATATGTTATATATATACCTTGATATTGATGGCGGCTGAAGCTGGTTTGCGTACAATCTTTAGCACTCTCTCATCATTTTCACCTTCACTGTAATGGTATAGTCCAAGCTTCTGGGCAATAAGATGTACTGTATGACGATGGGCGGTTGTAAGCGTTTTCGAAAATACCAATTCCTCGCGGGATTTATCATCACGAAAGATTATAACTTGGTCATAAAATTTTAGGGTTTCTGGATCATTAAGATCAAGCTGTGGTTCTGATTTTATTAAATATTAATATAAATTATGACGTTGAAATATGATATATTCTAAAATATATATAATAAGGTAAAAATATACCAAGACTCTTCTTGTCTGACTCCGCCAGTTTCTTTTCGGACTGAGGAGTTCCATTTTCAATTCTGATATCTGCTTTTGGTTTTTCAATCTTGATATTATCGCTTTTTTGTATTTCTCGTGTAGCAGTATTGGAAGTAGTGATAGTATTATCTGATTCACCTTTTATATTAACGCCACCATTATCAGCTTTTTGTTTTTCGGCTTTTTCCCTTTCTTTTGCCTCTCTTTCTGCTGCAGGTAGAACACGTTTGTATTCAACTCTGAGTTTCCTACCAGAGACCTCATATCCATTTAATGCGGATACTACGAGATCGGTTTCTTCTGGTGTACGATAGTTGGCAAATGCTAACCCTCTAAAAACACCATTATCGAAGTGGTAGTTGAAAGCGTAAGGTTTTGGAATATCGAGATTATTCTATCATTTGATAATTTAAATTAATTATTAATAAAAATTATTTATAGTTATCATCAAAGTTACACGTTGAAAAAGTTTAAGAATGAGAATTTCTTACAAGGATGGCTAGAAGCGCGTCTCTTTTTATGGAAAATGGAATGTTTTTGATGACGATGGCAGTTGGTATCGTTTCTTGAGTACCTGTACTCGCCTCGCTATCACTTTGCCCCTGTGAGTTTTTCTCGTACCATAACTACTCCCCAACATAAAAGAAGAGATCAATGTAACGTCAGTTCACGTGATAAGTAATGCCATTAATGAAAATTCTACCACTACAGCTGTGTAATCTATTTTTCTTGGACAGTAACAGACAAACAACTCCTTACCTTTGACCGTCGTTTTTCTTTTTTACGTTGGCTGTCGGTATTTCCTTGGCCTTTTTTAAGTTTAATAGAGTTAGACCTAGATGGAGTGTCCGAGTCAACAGCGGAATGATCCTCAAATTGATCTTCAAATGAAAGTTCGAAATCGTCAGCCATTACTGTGGCAATTATTTTTACTTGGAGATGAAGTGAGAGTGTATGCCACCTTAGCAAGCGAAAAAAAACAATGCGTAGGGAATGTAATCAGATGATAGGTCGTAGAGGGAAATATAAGGAGAAAGTATTGTGATCTGTCGTGAAACCCTAAAGTTGATGATGATAATAAGAGAAACAATCATATTTATCAATGACATAATCCATTTGCGATATAATCGGAGATAGCACATATATACATTATCGTCACACAAATGATTAAACGGAATTCATTCTGATCTACCGTTAATCTCGTTTAGAGTTTTGATCAACGATCAATGGTTAGCCTTGCAAAGAAGTTCTTTTTTATTGGTCTTTTGATTTTGATGGTCACCAATAGTAAATAAGTTAGTATTAGAGAATCATGCAAAATAAATGTATATATGTTTCATAACGTAAAAGTCCGAATTGACGCATATACAATTCTCGAAATATGCAATTATAATTATATTGTACACCCTAAAATATTCACAATGGCAGCTGCAAACAATAAATATAACAATAATCGTAATAAAACAAAACTTTAAAGTGTCTTTCATTTTACATTGGGGAAGGTTGCGGTGACGATTTTACCGATGAAGTAACAAACGTATGATTTAATAATACATTTGCTGCGGGCCGATGTTCGTGATCAAGTTCAAATGTTTTTGCTAGGAATTCCTTAGCGTCAGGTGATATATTGTCTGGTATTTCAGGAGAACAAGAGGAACCAATCTAAATCAAAGAAAAATATGAATTTAATTAACAAACAGGTAAAGAAAGTGTAAATGTTGATTCTTAATTATTAGATGCATTTTACCTTAAACATTGCTTGCATTTGATTAAACTCGGGGAAAGGATGATCGCCCGTAAACATTTCAACTATCAAACATCCTAAACTCCAAATGTCAGCTTTCGTAGAATAATGTATTTGTTTTACCACTTCGGGTGCCATCCAGAAAACGGATCCTTGTAATGAAGGGCGATGAGCTGATGCTGCGGCCATAAATTCTATAATGTAAAAAAATAAGAATGAATAAATACAGTTATTCTAATAAAAATCCCTTCATAATTAGATGCATACCATCTTCTACTTTTTTTGATATGCCAAAATCTGAGATTTTGATTCCGCCTTTAATGTCAACTATAAGAAATTAATCGAAAATAAAAATTATGACTTAGACTTTTGCGTAAAGTCATATTGCGAGATTAAATACAAAGACGGTTTACCCAGGATATTTGCGCCCTTAATATCACGATGAATTATTTCTTGTTCATGTAAATAGCTCAATCCTTGTAAGATTTGTCTTACAAAAGATCGAACAAGAGTTCCCTTCAATGGTCCATAATTGTTGAGCATTGTAGCTACTGAGCCACCTGGAACATACTCTAGGAAAATGTTTAGATTTTTTTCGTCGTGTTGCGACCCTAAAAGTAAATTGTTTAAATAGTTAATCAAATCATGAAATTAAGCGTAAAATATTTACCAATTAATTATATAGATTACATTTCATACATACCAAGATATTGGACTATATTTTCATGATGTAAACCTTTCAATAAAGTAATTTCCCGTTGTAAAGAATCCAGCTAAGTGTACAATAATCAATTAAAATATCAAATATTAAAACAAATTATTATGGGCATTCAAATACCATGGACTTTTTTCGTTCTTCACTTGCTGATTGACCAGTTGGAAAATCGACACATTTTACTGCCATTAGCTCTCCAGTAACCGCATTGAGACCGAGATAAACGTTCCCAAATGATCCAGATCCAATCAATGCACCTTTTATCCATTTCAGCGATGAATTTCCTGAATTTTAATAATTATAAAATATTGATTATTATGATAAAAACTATGTTAATGTTTGAAATTATTTTATTACCAGTGCCATCATCGAATTCGTCATCGCTATCCTGATCTGGATTCCAATATGGAGGCATTTCATCATCTTCATCCTCTTCAATTTCTTCATATGTTTCGTCAGGTTCTTCTGCTATCGTTATTTCAGATAACTCTATTGCTGACGGTGCTGCTAAAGCTGCTTCGTCAAGAAATCTCGATATTCGTTTCGATTTTGGTCGTGATATTCTTGATGCACGTCTTATTGAATTTCTAGCACTACGTTCCAACTCTTCACTATTATGCCCAGGAAAGTATTCCGTAAGATTTAGCGAAATTAATTCGGATGGCGGACGTTGTCCGAAAAAGTTTTGTAATTTTGTGTGTGTTGGTCCCGCAGAAAGCTTTTCGTATCTTTCCCCAAAGAACTTTTCCAACTTTCTTCGTCTTGGCATATCTTTACGTAGTATGAGATGTTCCCTTTCAGGTCTTTCTGGATTTTTACATATTTTTACTATCTCGTCATCGGTTAGAATACGATCTAATAAAACAAGATTAATAGTTATTTTAAAAAATATTACTATTATAAATATTAGTATCAGGGAAATAGGATTATAATTACAGGAATCGTCACTCAATTTAGTGCATAATGAATATTTTTCAGCCTCATCATCACTAATATTAAATTTGTACAGCACTCTGCCTAATATAGATTTTGCATCGTTATCCCCTCGAATATCGATTGTTCGAGATTCATGTTCTTCACCATCATAAACATCATAAACCTTGATGATATACTATGTAGTAATAAACGTGTAAGCAAATAAAAGCCGTATTAATCCCAAGAATAACTTATATGTACCTGTTTGATATTATGTATGTCGACTGAAGGACTCTATTAAAATAAAAATGTTTATAATTTGAAAATAAATCTTCAATATATCACGCATACACAAAAAAATAGAACACACGGAAATAATAATTGACAAAAAAAGATCTACACCGCATTTATATAAATTTTTAGCTTACCTTGACATGTTGTAGCCTAGGAGATTCTCTGGGTGAATTGATTTCTCTTGGAGAAGCTTCACTTCTCCCATTTCTCGAACTAGAACGTGCTAAAGTTCGAGGCATGGAACTCGATCGCGTAAGTTGCATCGGCGGGAATCGATCCAAAATAGGGGAATAAGTAATAGGTGAATAAGTATCCTAAAAAATGTAATTTTGTTTTTTGGTATATTGATTAATTAATTGATAGAATATATCATATTCAATGCTAAGATTAGCAGTCCATCCCTTAATTTTTTCTTGTAATTTTTACGCATCTATTAATATCTTTACTCTATCAGAAAATGGTCACTCACTTCTTGACAATAATCTTGATCGGGGCTGTTTTAGCAATATGCAAGAGAAATAATGCAGGAAAAGCAAATGATATACACCTTTGGATGTCTCCCGATATTATTAATGCAACTTTTTAACAAAGCTTTGACGGCGACCAAAATACGAACGCGCTCACTGATTTTCTTTATATTTAGCTCTTTCAAAATCTGATGATCCAACTCTAACAAAACATCTCCAGTGATATCATTCTCTAATGAATTGGTGGCAAAAGTAAAAGATGAGGTAAGCGTTTTCCTGATAGACTAAAAACACTAACCACTAACCACAGAATAGTTGCTCGTATTCCTTAAAGTTATTATCTTGCAACCAGTGATTTACTTGTTCAATTTTCCAGATTCGCACGCTTTCAAAAGTATAGCGAGCATCAAAGATAGGTGAGCCCATCGGAGTCAAAGAAATTTGTGTCATTTTAAAGCTCCCGATGTTAAACTGTACATGTAAAATACTAGAGTTGGGGTTAGGGTTAGTGCTGGTGAAATAGATTAATGTTGGCCTGAGTGATCACGTGAATCGACACCAAGACGAAACATATAGATCAGGATTTTTAGCGATCGTTGAACAAATCGGCCTGTATTATTAATAAAAAATATCAGAAAATTGTTTTTTTGTAACAGATAATATAACAATATAGCTTTAAATTAAATGATCTTTTCTTCAAAGTTGTTCAAAAATTTAATGTCATTTTCATATCTTTTGAAACTGAAAGTACTTAGTAATGATAATATTTCCAAATCTTAAAAATATTGTAAAATATCATGCAAAATATCTGGAATACTAATCAAGAATCTCAAGAACTAATGCAAGAATTAGTCTTAATTAACTAAGTAAATATGTAGAAAATATAATTATCTTTATTGATCAAAAACTGATTAAAAAGCCAATTTTGAGAAATTTACAGGATATATAATATAAAGAATATATTATTGAAGAGATATTTTACATAATATTTTACAAAGTTTGATTAAAATTTCAAACCAAACTCAAAGTCTGATTCAGTTTAATTCATATAAATATTATTATAAAAAACTTTAAATATATTATTAATAATCAATTATAATAAATTTTAGTAATGAAATTTTTAATTTTTCAAATTCTTATATTAATTACAAATACAAATAAATCTTTCTAAATATATTTTCTTGAAATCAAGATAAAGTATATATTTAAAAAGAATATACACTGTCATGATCAGGATCCTGATAAGTATTATTGTAATGTGAATGTTTAATCAATGTCTGATGACAGTAATTTTACAGTTATTTAATCTTTTTGTAATGAGTATATTTCAGGATCATTACACAGTGCTTTTTCTTTTATCTATTGGATAAGCTCTCACTATTACTAATAGATGTTATATCTACTTAGTATGGAACAGTCCTATAGCAATACAGTACTAATATTCTATAGCAACTTTGGTGATTATCCAATAGTGTGCAATAAATGTAAGTATTTTAATAAGTTATTATTCAATTAATTAATGTATAAGTTTTATTAACAATAAACAAGAAACAGTTTATTGACTAGCTAGATTTTGTATTGATTAATTGATATTTTTTTAAAGCTTTAATTGCACTTTATTTATAATAAATATTTTCTACTAATAAATATTACATTTATAATTAATTATATAAAAATGATAAATAATAGATATTATGTAAGTTGTGGTAATTACAGTAATTATTGTAAATGATGATAATTATAGTAATTATAATAATTATCAAAATTATGAAAGTTATAGAAGTTATGAAAATTATGAAAGTTATGAAAATTATGGAAATTATGGAAATTTCCAGTCATAACAACACTTATAAAAAGTAAAGTATATAAAGTTTTTATAAATTATATAATATATTTAAAAAATATATATATATAATATATATTTAAAAAGATTTATTTGTACTTATAAATTAAATTTTACTATTTTAAAATTTTATATTTTTATTGAATAGTTTATATCATAATTATTATTAAATATTTTTATTAAATAATAACTAAAATATTCTATTAAATATTATTTTTAGAAAATAACAAAATTAACAAGCTAAATTAGTAATATTAGCAATTTTGATAAATAATAATAGTAATTATATTTAATATTTAATAAAAAATTAATTTGATAAAATTTAAATAAAAATATGAGTTTTTTAATAATAAATTAAATTTGATAAATTAAAGATTTTTTGAATAAAGTTATAAATAAAAATTTTTAACTTTTAAATTATATATTAAATTTTAGTCAAAATTTTATTTTTTTAGTTTCAGAATATAAATAAAATTTAAATAAATACTAATTAAATAAAAATTTAATTTGTTTACTAAAATTTTTAATAATATTTTAATAATAAAACTTTTAAAAATTAAGTGATTTGTATAATTTATATGATATATTTGCTTAATTATATTAAATACTATATCATTGCTAAATTTTTAAAGAATTATTATTTTTAAATAAGTTAATATATATTATATTAATTAAAATTTTCATGAAAAATGATTATGTAATTTTATATAATTAAATTTAATTAATCAAAAATAATACACATGATATTTCAAGTGCTAAACTCTTACTTTTATTATTAAAATTAATGTTAAAAAATCTAACTACAAATAATTTTTAGACAAGAAAATATATAATATTATAAATTATATTAAAACAAAATTATAAATTATAATTTAATATATATTTTTTCTGACAAAATTGTTTTAATTGTAAAATTATTACAAAAATTTTTTATAATTAATTTTACATTTTAATTACAAAAAATTTTTGTAATAACTTTGAAGAAAAGATCATTAAGATCAAGCTGTGGTTCTGATTTTATTAAATATTAATATAAATTATGACGTTGAAATATGATATATTCT